TCTTTATGGCGGTTCGCGCTGCGTTTTCTCAGGATAAGAAGCTAATGTACGAGTTCCAATATCGCAAACATAAGTGTAAATGTTGTGTCATTCAATTCTTTTCATTGTCCCCTTTGGCGTTTCGTGCGTCATTTTATAAGACATTTATGGCATAAACATGTACTGTGTGGAGTGTCTCCAGCCAGAAGAGTCAATCGTTTTGCCATTTGGCTGACGTAGGCTACTTCGACCTTGCATTTGGAATTCTAAGTTAATATTCCGTCAATTAATTTGTATCTTCATACAAGTCTCCAATATTACGTTGTTTCTAGACTTTCGGTTCTTACGGCGGTGAGTACGAAGATTCTTGTCTTCTGGGTTGAAGTGCCATGTAGTCTGGTAGAAGTTTACAAACGTTTCAGAGGTCCTTGCTGCCTCCATCATCAGGGCGATGATAGAGGCAACAAGGACCTCTGTAACGTTGGTAAACTTCTATTAGACTACAAGGCGACACAGCTTAGAAGTCGGTAATCTTCATTAAATCGTTTGCTTGAAGCTAACTAATGTCTTTCGGAAACGTTTCTTCTTTGTTCCTGAAATTTTAACAGTTTCGCGTTTACTTGTTTCCTGCAAACAATAAAATTTAGCCTGCTCTCTTTGATTTGACAGTTTTAACTATTCTTCGTCATTATGGTTTATGCCACTTTAATTCGTTATAAGGGGGTCACAGCAGGAGTGTTAAATGTTGCGGTCCCGATCGAACCCATGTACTGATGGGTCGTGAAACCTGCTAACCACCAATGCACACCTTGCTGAATGGTGTGTACTGGAAACGAAAAAAATATCGTTATAAACTGAGACTCTCCTTGGCCGGAGTTTTGATATTTTTTCTAATACTGAAGCCCTACTGATATCCTTATCATGATCCAAGTATTGGAGAGTCTGAAACTATGATATTTTGACTTGGCAAAATATTATTATTTAATTTTCATGTCGTTTCGCGTCTGGAGATATGTACCCAAAATATAAAAATTCTCGTTGCTCGTTTACTTCCTGAACGTCTGAAACCGCTAGATAGTCGTCAGTATAATTTAATACACCACGACAGATTCACAAACATTTTTTTCCGCTCGACACGTCATTAAACATACGTGATATGTATTGCAGTGATTCCTCAGACGTGCTGGTACAACAGCGTCAAGTTCGACTGTGGACTAAGCATTTCGTGCGTGTTTGCGGGCGGGAAACCCCTGGACCTGTGCAGCGGTGGGCTCATCTGGAGCTGCTGTGTGTCCCGCGACAAGATCCACTCCGACCATCAGAAACCCAACGTGGGTGCACTCGAGAATGCCAGTATGTACACATTTAATTATTACGGTGATTTGTTTCCGAGCGACCCATAACAACTAAATTCACTTTATGGATGCGCTGCCTAGAAAACTCACTGTATAATAAGTTCCTGCAATTAACATTGTTGTGCATGTTTGGTGCTTGCTTATTAATCATAATAATATCCCATTACCACTTAATTACAGTCAATATTATAATTAGCGTGCCGATTATAAGCAATGTTTGGTTGTTACTACTGGTGTATATCTGTTAATTCGTCATAAAACACCACAAGTATAATTAATAAAATGCAAGTTTTTGACGTGACCATTTCGCCTACGACGCCACGATTAAAAATTCTCACCGTCACATTTATGAAGTCACTAAAACTTTGTCGCAGCTGACGTCGTTCGTATTAGGGGGCTTGGCTGGGATGAGTGAGTAGCTAGGAAGTAGCCAGTATTCCTGTCATTCTTTATCGGCAAAGGGATTAAACTGGCATTCCCCACACCTTTCGCGAGTAGACTTTGACTTGTTGTCAATTTCTGATATATAGGAGTATACATCGCTGAATTCAAAATCACGCGCTAATACTACGCGAGGCCAGTGGCGGCATAAAGCGGAACCGCGAAGAAATTTCGTTGCGCCTTGCCGCTAAGGATACCTACTTTCTTCCTTGCAATGGCCAGTTTTGTAAATACCGTTAGACAGGGAAATACTGTACTAGTTTGGTTGTAATACAACAGCTTTGCTGAGTTGGCTACACAAAAAGCCGAGATGTCGACCTGGGTACAAATACTTTTTCACACGCCATGCTGTCCTGCGCTTCGCGCGAGACTCTGCCCCTATTTAGATAGCGTTTTGGTTGTTGGCTGGCTGGCTGCTTGAAGACTATTCCAACTGCCCTCAATCCCTGTCGTTATACTGTTAGACCGACGCACTGTGTTTTCCTATGTGCTTATAGTGAATTTTAATGTCACTGAGGCCGTGACATCCATTTATCGCAGATGCAAATAAGTATATAAAGGATGAACTTATTTAGAACAAAATTCTGAGGAAAGTACTTCGATATAGGTGGCTAGAGAACATTACATGATGCGGCCAATTACAAAATCTCAAGGAGAAGTTATTTGAGACAGATAATCATACGCCTAGGTGGGAAAATAATGCTGGTTACAATATTTACTGTTATAATAATCATATAATATATAATTATAGACTATTATTAATTACATAAATTATTAATAATTACAAGTAATACATATACGGTTATAAAACTGGTTAGAATATTTACGATTTTTAATGACGCTGTCAGCAGCTCAGACAAAAAATATTGACGATGCTGTTCTGGGTTGTAACGCCGTCTGGACTCGTGCGTAGATATCAAAGTTTCGGAGAAACTCACTTTCTCCATCCACTTACTAGTCTACACGATGTCACATCCCAGACGAACATCGCCAAGATCCTCGGTTATTTACGTACAATGCGGCGTAGAAGAGAGTACTTCAAGATTGTATCTCCTTTCTTCAAATCTTTTGATTTCTTTGACTTGTCATCCTGTGTACGATCCGCAGAATCTTATTATAAAGCGGCGACGAACCACACAGTAAACAATACATCATATCGCAACTTGCTAGTACAATCTTGCCCGGAAAGTAATTGTGTGATTGTCGCAAACATACCACATAAAAAAATAATTTATGAATCTTTCCGTTTTTAACGGGCTTACAACTAAAATAAACGAGTGAGGGGATAGTCGTACAAATGCATCTTGTGCTAACCTTGCATAAAAATAAGCACTGAAGTTTCTAGCGCACTAAAATATTTATTTTTTGAGAAATCGAATTAGGAATACAATTTACGAACTTAATTGATTTCAATGTTTACAATCTTGGTTTCGCTGAAAGCATGAATGTGAAACACGCATCAGTTTTATTTATATACTGTATTCTTTTCTGATGTGGAAGGAAGCGGTCTTGGTCTAAGTTAACGAAAAACACGAAAGCCTCAGTGAGCACAGTAGTCTCTACGCCGAGATTTAAAATTTCTTGGCTGTTACGTTCGTTTCTCCACAACGAGATATTCGAACATATTAGAGCAGTGACCTTGGCGGCCATGGAATTTGACCGTCATGGCCCGTTCATTGTCAGGGTAATTTTCACCAGGGATTTTGATTACTCGATTAACTTCAACATGCAAATCACGCTAAGACACCTCTCTCAGCCCCTCCCAGAAAAAAATTACATGGAGACATGTTTCACACGTTCGTAGTTTAAACAAAAATAATTCCCGTTTTACAATTTATTAAGTAATTTGTAACAACTTTGTAATAGCTTATTGTTCCTTGTAAGTTGTCATATGACAATCAGCGCGTTTAAAACAAGCAAGCAAAGTAAATTGTTCATGTCTTACAAATCATTTAATGTAAATTCCATGCAGCTGCAAGACAAACAAACTAGTGACACGGTTATAAAGCTCTTCAGGAATAGGATATATTATTTTTACTCGTTTTGTTAATGCCTGAATGTACACAAATCTAAAACAGGAAATTTTAAAAAAAATAGTTTTATGACTCGGAGGATGGCATAAACGTGTTTAAACTTGTTGTACTTATTTTTTAACTTTTGTGCATTCTTTTTGCATAAATGGAAGCTAACAAATGTTAATGTAAAGCGACATAGGTTGCAATGTCTTCTCTAAAAAGCTAATGAACAGAATGCATCTTCTTTCAGTTGTACACTTTCTGGTTAAACTTTTAATACCCAAAACATCAAATACTTATTAATAAATTTTAATGCAGAAATTGTAATTTACACTTATTTCTTTTCGTCTTATTTGCCTTGTGCTACATTTTCATGACTAAAGCACAGCTAATATACCTACTTGTTAAAACAAATTATTATTATTACCACTATCGAATGCCGTTAAACATAGCCTATACGATTCACAAATTTCTACAAGACACAGTGCAATATTCCAGAAGACAGTCATCTTTTAACGTGTAGCCAGGATGCAAACAAAACTATTTTTAAACTTATGAATATGTCCCAAGGAAAAAAGGGGGAAGGACTAAATGGAATTATTGTGGAAGAGACGTAGAAGGTAACTAGGTTTAACTGACATATTACGCACAAAATGGTCCACTCATTCTTTCCTCGTTGACGAATTTCTAGCGCAAACAAAATGTCACATGAGGTAAATTATTAAAATTGTTGCAATTGAGGTCAATGTCGACCCATCTTTGGAGTGAGAGTTGAGCTTTCACTTCAGGACTGCATTGTTACCGCGTCTAGAACGGTCCCGCTACAGCTGTTTGTTACGCAACAATGGCAGGAAAATTGTCACTACTTATTGCTAAACTTCTGTCACTTAACGACACGGCAACACGGAACTCACTTGTCAGTGCAGGATGGGCAGTTTCTCCATTTCCGCACAAACAAGAGCAACGCCAGTCTAGGAATTTGCCACGAAAGAAAATCAGGAACAGTTACATTCAAATAGAAACTTTCGTATTGTACTCAACCCAAACTTCGCCCCCATACTGAGAGCCAACTTTTAGGTGCCGGGCAACTACGAGGAGCTTTCAATTTGTATACAATGTAGGCCTACTATCCTGAGTTGTTTGAGAGGGAGGGATTTAAAAATCCTTTGAGGTAAAAATAAACCTAAAGTCTTCTAACAAGGTGGGTGAAGGCTAGCGGCCTACCGAACAAAGTACATATTACCCAACCTGTTTTTTCTCATGTACAATTTTAACGTTATGAATTGAATGGGACATACTATCGATGGTAGAATAGCTGGAGTAATGGAGTAGAAGGAAACAGTCTTGGCACTCTCACTGAATATGCCTAAGGAAAACCACTGCATGCTCAGGATATCCGGTCTCCGAGCCGAGACTCGAACACGGGACTTCCCCAAGATGAAACAGAAGTGTTAACGTATGCAGCGCGACGGTCCATAGAAGCTGATCATAAATGGTGAATAAGTAAATTATTTGAGAAGAGGCAGTCGCCGTACCTTTCAGTGTAGAATTCCGAAATTCGCCTGGAGATACTGAAGAAAATCACGAAAACTTCAATCAATAGCCCGGCTGAAATTCGAACTGAATACCTCCTGAATACGCATCTACAGCACTGTCATATACTGATCACTTCCCCAGTAAACCCAACCAGATTTTTATTGCTAGTGAGCTTGTTCCAGTGTCCTACTACCTGCCACCTAGCGATTAAGTTCCTCTGCTATGAAGTGGCCGAAAAGAATAAAGGCGTATGGCACGCAGAGAGAGAGGTGCAAATTACGACTCTGCCCTTGCAAATACTTACTTATCGCACGTTTCAGCAGTACGTTCTTGCTGTTTCGCAACGTCGTGGACTGGCACGGTCTGCTTCTCGCTCAAGTAATTGAGTATTTTATGTGCAAGGTCTAGCCTGCCTGTGTAGAACGTGGCAAACTACCGAAATGCTCCGTACTGAACCTAGCGTATTGCCCTTTGTTTAGCCTCCGGTGATGGTAACAGGATTGCACAAAGAAACACGTGACTATTAACTCACGAAAACATGCACTTGCAGTTCTAATCAACGCAAACTTGGTCACTGATTATATTGATCTGAATCATAAACGATTTCTTTCTACGTGCGACTAACATAAAAGAAACTAGTCAACTTACATAAATACAGCAGCAAGTCCAATTCTTCTGACTTTCACCCTTCAGTATTCAGGTCTCCAACGTCAGACGATTTGCATGTCATCCCGTCATCCTGCGCATGAACAGAGGTACAAAATGAGAAGCGACCGATTTATCCAAGGAAAGGGTGGTTTAGCAAATTTATGAAGCATCTGACCTGAATGTTTAACCACTTCCTGGTACGAAGGTCATAAATGTCTCTACGGGAAGATGAATTCGTCTTTTCACTATAAAAAGATATTTTTTGGCGCTGTGGTTTAAATTTTGTAGTAACTTTCATTCCAAAGCCTTAAATGAGGCAGTGGGACATCACTGATTAATATTTCCGTAAAAGGTGTAAATTAGTGACGTCATGTTATAAATAAAAGAACAAAATTACATAAAAATTAACACAAGCGTTTTTGTGTTGTGTACGTTTTTGAAAGTTTCGTCCAGTTTTTCATATAAACGTTTATCTCTCTTTATTTCGGAAGTAGTCTATACATGTCATTGCACGTAACAGCTGGACACTCTACAATGACGGATTCTTAAAGGGATATTTTTCAGGATCTACATTAAATCCTGTTGAGCAAGTAAGCTTCATCTCTCTGTTAACAAAATGCCAGCACCGAATGTTTAGTTATTATCAGCACGCTCTGTCAGTGTTCCTGGAAGGACAACATAATATTTTCTGTAATACTTAAAACAATTCAGACACTGTGGCTAGAATTATCCGAATATGGAACAACGGTTTCGAAAAAAACAGTTGTTTTGTAGAATTAGAAAAGAGGAACAAAGCTTTACCTACTGTGTCCAGCACTGCAGTTCCTATTGAACTACCACCAGAGCGGTAACAACGACCTGGAGTATGGGAACAACGTAGCAGGAAGCATCAACCGACCGCACATCTACTACAGCTACCCCCCAAGCAACCATTTCAACAACCACCACGTGTACAACCGACCCACCACAACTCCGCCCGATCTCAATAACCACCACGTGTACAACCGCCCAACTCCACTCCCACAAGACCACAACCACCACGTGTACAACCGCCCCACTGTTCCTCCGCCCGATCTCAACAACCACCACGTGTACAACCGCCCAACTCCAATCCCACCAGATCACAACCACCACGTGTACAACCGCCCGAATCAGCCTCCACAGAGCAACCCAGACATCGTCTATGTGAGGCCAGGCTACGTGGGGCCAATAAAGCCAGAATTCGATCACCCGCACGTCGGAGGGGCGACACCTGTCAACAGACCGCCCATAGAGTCGCAGTCACCCGACGTCTTACAGCGGCCCACAGTTCGCCCAATTCTGCCGCCCAGCCATGTGTCTCCCCCGGGCAGCAACAGGGGTACGATTCTGTGATATTGCACTGAGCACCACACCAACTGACAGACAGACGCTCTGACAATACTGCGACATTTGGACCAACACTTTTGGAAGGATCACTCACAGTCAGCTTACAGCTGTTAAGACAAGGGGGATATGCTATTATTTTATCACAGTGCCCCAGAAGATCTTTAACATGAAAGATTATTGCAAAGTTTATTAATTAACTATATAATGTAATGATTACAATTTTTATTCATATTCAGGAGGCATGCACTTTGGATCTTGTCAGGTACTATCTATACCAAGGTTTCTATAGTTTTCCTAAGTCACTCCAATCTAATATTTAGTACCTAAAATAATGTCAGATTCAGATGTAGCACAAGCTCAGCACTGTTTAAAATAGCTCAATAAACAGATATCAAATACAGACTACATAGGAGTTACATACGTCACACTTCAAGACTGAATGCTGGTAAATGGAAAATGGTCACTTAGAAGACCAAGGATCAAACGGAAAAAAACTTTAAGATGGATCATAGATGACTGGGATGGAAATGGAACTAGCTCAAAACTATTCTGAATGGCAGGCACGGCTCCGGTAACATGAAATCTTGACGTATTATTGTTAGAAAGTAAGTTAGATACCATCCTGAACGTGTATTAAGATACAAATCAAGGAGCATACTGTCATTCAAAAGTTTAAGATTCAGGATATATAGCACACCTTCTTGGGAAAATACATATACCAGAAATAGAAATGTTGTCAATTCTCTAATTTCACAAAACTATCTTAGGCATAATAAAACAGACACTGCACTAAGTTATCGTCATGGTCATGTGTGAGCAGTCATCTAAGACAGGTTTAATATGCATTGTAGTATTCATCAGACACATGGCTGAAAAGAATGCGTACCTTCCAGTGTGGATGCCAAGACAGATTCCACTGTGTTATAAAAGAGATTAAACCTTTCCACACTGTTTTTTCTAAACACTTTTGTTGTATTTCAATAGCACATATAACTTCTGCTGTTGGTGGTAGCCTTCAGCTGTTTTGAGACAGCTGATGACGTTTCTTCATCTGATAGTCTCAAAAATCAAACAAACTCAGACCATGTACACCATGCCTTCATAGCTAGCTGGCTTTATTCAGTTCCGAGAGTAACTAACTTTATTTATGCATCAAGTAACATACATCCAGTTTTGTGTGGGCGTGAACTTTGCCTTCCACCCCGTGGGAAGAATACAGATTCAGGATGTTTAAGAAGAGCGGGGCAGGAAGCATTCATGGAATAAATTAAAAATGCATACACAATTACTAGTTAGACACCCTGAAAGGAATAGAACACTTGGTAAACCAACATGTATACGAGAGGATAATATTAAAAAGACTTTCTGAGTAATAAGGAGTGACAATATGGACTGAATTTATCTGGTTCAGGTTAGTGACACAAGGTGGGCTGTTAGTGGAAAGGAACTTTTGGGTTCCATAAAAGTTGGTGAATGTTTGTACCAACATGGCTGCAGTTTGACCGCTTGCTACATGCAGTTTTTTAAGCGTGGAATGTACATAGAAATGGATACATATATCATGTTTTCTCTAATGGCACTGCACAAGCACTTTGCATTCCTTTGCTTCAATTGCAATGAACAGATTACTTCATGGACTAACATAAAGCCAGCAGCTGAATCAATCTTGTAGTTTTTGTGATAGCAGCAGATAAGGCATTTTAAATCTTAATTATATTATACAGATCAAAGCAAACAATGCTGAATACCAGGACCAGAGCCAGAAACTGTTTATAATTGAGTCAAAACTTTGCAGATATTAAAGAATATTTTGGATTCCATAAATGGCAAGAAATCGATCAGCTCGGCAATTATCAGGCTCTTAGAAAAGGCTTTGTTCCATGGAGTTACTTATTATTTTCATAGCTAATTATCTATATTTCACTGCTTTGTAGCACAATTGCTTTACAATAATGTGTGCTTGAACTCCGAGAACCTTACAACTGGCAAAATTTTTACTGCTGTTAATTGTATGTGTGACAAATGGTCTGGCAACTCCCACCCACAGTCTGTCTCCTGTTAAGTCGGTAACAAATGGTGACACAGAAAAATGGAAAGCCACTCGGTAATCACTACATTTTCAAAATCTTTTTCTTTGTATGTTAGTTCAAAAACACACATTTTTAAATCCAAATACAGGGAATAATAACAATAGAGAGTTTAGATTCACAAGGCATGTAGCAGAATCCACTGTTCTCATGACCTCATCTGCTTTGACTTAAAAATCATCCACAATTACAAAGCATTCAATGACTTTGCTTACAATTCCCTTTGATCAGAACTCCAAGTTAAAATATTAGCTGGGAGAATAATCAACTTTCATATTCTTTATTAGATGAATTCATTCACAGAATCCCTTAGAGTGCAGTTTTTTATCATTGACATAAAGCATGAAATTATAAATGAAATGATGGTTATGATTGGTTTGATGGGAATAAAATCCAGTAGCATTTAACCCCTTGCCAGGCCTCATGCAGCAACATTCAAATGTTCCCGGCAGATAATCACATTCTGAAATGTAGTGTAGGAAAGAGCATTTCAATTAACTGGTACAGTAGCATCAGATTTCGGTGGCAAGGGGTTAAGGTACATTCTTGACATTCATCTGGAGAGACTGAAGAAAATCATAGAAAATGTCGGTAAGGATATTTTTTCTAGATGACATGAAAAATGAACCTCATGAACAATGAAACAAAAGTTCCAATTACTTAACCACAATGTTTGTTTCTCCTACATACAGTTCTTTACACATTTGTATTTCACTTAACTGTATCAAACACAAATGCTTTATTTCATGAAGTGCCTGTTAGCTACCTGTTTACTGAAATTGATACTGGCTGAAACATAACACACCTTCTGTTTCACGACAACAAACTTTCATTTTGCTGTTTAGTACCGATGACAAACCACTGTGTATGATTTTATGTTATGAACTGAGAAACTGACCAGTGTTAGCACAAAAATTAATTCAAGATGTGTTATTTGCTTTTAATTTTATAGAATCGTTTATTGAAATTCTTTCAGTAATAATTCACACAAATTGTGAGTGACTTGTGGCATGTTTGTGGTATTCACTTTTTAAAATATTAAATTCAAATTAATGACAAAGTTATTTGTGGGGTCAAACATTCGTCACATTACAAAGAATTCAAAGTATCAGTAAAAGCAATATTGTTTTATGTTAGACGTATTCTGTCTCATGCATGTCACAGATTTATAATACTGATGCAATCAAGAAATCTTTTCACAATGGACAGATTTTACTGGATGTCCTTTGTTGATCCTGTACGTGCAGAGACACTTTAATACTGAATTATTTACTGTGACAAAAATCTGACTCTGACTTAGTCAAAGACCAAATGAATGCACTAAAATACACAGTAGAAATGTTCAGAATGTGTGAATATAAGATGCACTTTGTACATATTCTTCTGTACTAGTTAGTTACCATCACGTTGGCACACTTTCATGACACTGTACCAAAACACAGCTTGCACTATCTGCAACTGACATGGAAATTGGAGGGAATGTGACAACAATGAGGATGATGCATGATAATAGTGAAACTGACAGTGCATTTGTTAAACTTGTTGCTTCACAATGCACGTAAACATACGGCTGCACAAACAGGGGATTGGATGTGAAGGTGATCTCTTACAACTTGAAGAGTGAAAGAAACAGCATATGGATGGGAAGATAATTTAATATAAAAAAAATATGCATCAAATGAAAATATTGTGAGTTTTGCCAATCAGTGAATAATTAAACATTGAAATTGTTACAATCTACTTTTGAGCTGAGAGGAAAAAATGGAGTGGTATTTAAAATTATTTTAGCATGAACTTTTTACCAAAATATGAGAGGAAATAATATTAGGGGGTGTGCACTGTACTACTGAGTAAAGTGGCAATTTATTGTACACAATGATATGTAAGAAAAAGAAAAGGAAGGGTAATGGGTTTTTGCTTAGACATGAGAAAAACACGCTTAAAAAATATAGGGGGGGGTAATTATACATTCTTCTTAGAAAAAAACTCTGTCCCACTGCAGGATATGGTTCCTTTTAAAATTTAACATTAATGCAAAGTATCATATCTTGATTCAGGTTTTCCAGTAAACCTAATCCAACATTAATTCTGTATAAATAAGACCTAAATCCATTTTCTATCCTTATTTTCCAGTTTCACGCGACTTACTATTTACATTTAAATTTATAATCACAAACTGCTCCTTGTGTTAAAACATGAGTCAATTTTAATATCTACAATTCATCATTAACCACCAAATCTCCAGGCTTTTCTCAGTGAAAGTTTTTCTTCTCACTGAGAAAGTTCATTAACAGACACAATATCCAGTACTTTCTTCAGTTTGCAAGGTGTATGGACATTAAATATTGTTTTGAATTTTGGTACCTTAGCAGATTGTCTTCTTTGTAAATACATAAACTCTTATAATCACAGTAACAGTTCTCTGAAGAGATGAGATAACATGTGTTGTGTTAACAATATTATGTCAAAGAGAAGCAGTGTGTGAGGATGAGACATGGATGGAACTGACTTTGAATACATCAAATAGCAGGAATTAAGTGCTGAACATTTTGGTTCATTCCCCTTATTCATACATCTCCCAAGTTCTCTCTTCTCTTGAGATTCACCAACTAAATTTTTGTGTTTTTGAGAAAATTCCTGTCTGCATCATCAGATAATGTTATTCCCTGTGGAAACGCAAACACAGGACACAAATGATATCCAAAATATTGGACTTCTCTTTTACATTGACTCAGCTGATCTTTTGAGAAGATTTTATCACTTTTAGTTGCCATGAAAGCTTCAAATATTATATAATTTAAACACTCTGTATATATTACAGTTCAATATATTCAGCATAAAAAGTGACATTTAATTCCAATACATTCTGTTTTATTAGACAGAGACTTGAGTTCTTCACTTGAAAATCCCACGCCCTTTATCTGCACCATGCTGGTGAAAAATATTATTCAACTGAATTTATAGTTGGAGCTACTTTTTAATTGAAAATTACACTGTTTCAGCTTGTGGAGAGATGTATACACGAAGTAACCGCATAGTGGGTGGTCACAATTCTAACTTTGGTAGCCATCCATGGCAAGTAGCACTCATCAAGACTGGTTTCTTGTCCAAGAAACTATCCTGTGGGGGTGCATTGCTCAACAACAGGTGGATTGTGACAGCTGCTCATTGTGTTGCCACGTAAGTAATGAAAGCATTCTATTCAAAATGTCCTGTTGGCTAAATGTCCCACATTTCAAATATTTCTGAACATTTACTTTAAATGTAGTCTGGTATCTTATAAACCACAGAATTAAATAAAAACCAGCAAACAGAATCTGAGCTTTATTTATAAAATTCAAAAATAATATTTTTCACTGATGTGCACATTAGTTCTTACATAATGTGACTGTTTTTGTAAATCTTATCAAGCTCCAATTCCTTCATAATAATTTAGCACCTAAAAACTTAATTTCTTCATGATCAACTATTCCTTCTTTTACTGAGATTTGAGGCTCTCATGGTGGCAAGTATGAAGTTGGCTGTCTTCTGGGTTGTTGCACCATGCAATCCGGTAGGAATTTTACCAGTGTTTTAAAGGTGCTTTCTGCCTCGTTTATCAGGGTGATCACCCTGATGATGGAGGCAGCAAGAACTTGTGAAATGACAGTAAAATTCTATCAGACTACATGTTGCAACAACACAAAAGACAGCCATCTTCCTTCCTTCTTTTAAGATTATCTTTTGGAAATCTTCACCAAGTCCCACTTTGCTCTTGTGCTATGTTAGGTTTACATGGGTTAAGTGTAAGTGAGAATACTGTGGTCTTTGCAGCACCACAAACGGCAACCTGAGAGTGCGTCTTGGAGAGTGGGATGTGAGAGACCAGACAGAGAGACTCCACCATGAGGAGTATGGTGTGGAGCGTAAAGAGGTTAGTCTTATTTAAATGATTAAAACAGTTCAGAATGATGCACTAATTAAAAATCAAAGTAAATCTGTCCCACTATATGCCATGTAGGCACTTGGGGGGGGGGGGGGGTGTGTGTGTGGATTTCTTCTACTCATTCTTGACCTCAGCACTAGATGGGGATGAGTGGTCAGCATCATGCTCTGGCCGCACTTTACCCCCCCAGGAAATGACCCTGGTACCCAATGGATAGGAGGCTTGGTGGTCTCCAGAACCGGTCTGGACACAGAGGCAAGAGGAAAAATCCTCTGCCCCATCGGGGATCGAATCCTGGTCATCCAGTTTGTATAGCCAGTCACTATACTGTATGAGCTACGCTGGCTCGATGCACTAGTTAACCAATCAAATTTATGTTTGTTTTTTGACACTTCCTTTGATACAGGTACACCCACAATATAGTCCAACAGACTTCCGCAATGATGTGGCTCTTGTGAAACTGGACAAGGCAGTGATGTTCAAACAGCACATCATCCCTGTGTGCTTGCCTGACACCAATGTGAAACTTGTGGGCAAGACAGCCACTGTTGCAGGCTGGGGCAGAACTCGTCATGGTTAGTACATAGATTGTTTTGACCTCTAATACACTTACTTATTTGATTACTTGTTTTTATGGAACAAAAATAGTTTATTAATCAAGTTATAATGTTTATAGAAAAAATTAAACTTCATTAATGCATCGAGAAATACAAGACCATTATGCATTCTTTACATGAATTGGACATATATAAAGGAAATATATCTGCCTGCTTCATCTTCAGAAATCTATTGACCTGATTTTGATGGAAGTTGGTGTTGGGGTCCACACTAACAATTTTAAATTATCAAGGTCAGTGAGGTATGAAATATAGCAAACAACATGAAAAACATACTCAAACTCCAGGGGCAAAGGAGCAGATGCCTTTCCCTTCCTAAATTCTAGTTAAAGGAGGCAAGAGGTGTCTCTTGCATCTCAAAATATCGTGAGAAGGTGATACAGAATTGGAGTTAATTAAATCTATGTGTATACATTAAAAACAAAAGGCTACATCTTCACTTACTAGCATCAGAATTTGAAATTCTTTGTTCCAGGAAAAACAGCAGACACAGGCCACTCATACCATCATTACTCAGTGGTGTGTTGCTATAGCTTATTAGTTCCCTGCAACAAGAAATTAAATATAAACAACAAATTCCTCAACTGGCACTGCAACTGATTACTGTTTAAGTTATAACATCTTATGTTAACTGTGATTATTTCCTTATCCCCAGATTTTGATATTTGAGGTTTTCATGGTGGGTAAATCCAGACCACAGACCACATCCACAGAAAATGTCTTTCAGATCTGTAATGTTCTGAAGAATTGAAAACTACTGAGCACTACTGCCTCAATAACAAAAATACACACTTGCTTCATGAAGAATCAGTCCAGACAGATGGGACTACTGGGGCTGCTAAATACCATAAATAATAATAAAAGAAATATATATAGAGTGAGAAATATAGGACATATAGGACATATAGGGTGTACCAGCAAGATTTGGAGTGTGCAGTAAATGGCACATCATATAATAGAGATTTGATGATAACTAAACAGTTGAAATATCACTGGTTCAAAATATTAAATGTAGTTGTATTGATGAAAATATAGATATAATCAAATTTGAACTCCATTTACTTCCTCATTTGCTATACAGTACATTATACTCAAGTCCATTTTTGCTAAATAAATGATGGGACACTAGTTGTTCTTAGCACACACACTTCCTGCCAACAATGATCCCAAAGTTGTGGTGGAGTAACCAACAATGGAGTAGATTTCATCACATTCTTCTCTTTATCTCAATAATGTCTCAATATTTCAGGCATTACCACCTACAGCAATAGAAAGAATACTGTCTGATGACCTAGGGGCTCTTCTTTGGAAGGGTCACAAATGGAAGTTTCATGAAAAGCAGCTGACTTTTACATGCTTTCAGGGGTGTCAACTGTACCAACTGTACTGCAGGAAGTGGATGTTGAAGTAATATCCAATGACCGATGTCAACGTTGGTTTCGAGCTGCTGGACGGCGGGAAACCATACATGATGTGTTCCTGTGTGCAGGATTCAAGGAAGGTGGCAGGGACAGCTGTCAGGTGAATATTTCTTTCCTATTTTATTTTTATTCATCATATTCTGCGTTTGTTTTCTGGGGTACATTTCTTTACTGTATTACCACTTTCAGGGTGACTCTGGAGGCCCACTGACAACAACAATGGATGGTCATAAGGTTCTAATTGGACTGGTGTCATGGGGAATTGGCTGTGGAAGAGAACATCTTCCAGGGGTTTATACAAACATACAGAAATTTGTACCATGGATAGACAAAGTCATGGTGTAACACATAAAATTATTAAAACAGTTCTGAAAATAAAGCAGGGAGCAGAAAGTGAATATCTGTGTACCTTTGGTGAAGTGAACTTTATCTATACTGAGACCAAAGTGTGTGTTGTAGAACCAACAGGCAAGTGCCATTTGGACAGAACATAATGATGTGTCTTCCAAATCTTTCCTCCAGTCTACCTCATGTCACTGAGCCCATGTTCTAACAGTAAGTCCCTGTAGAACATGGTTTTGTGAAATATCCTGCTTTAGGACATTCCCACATGAGAATTTGTGAATTCTCTAAATGTCTGTGACAATGGCTGATTCACAATGCCAAAATGTTAGAAACTGTCCATTGTCTAAGGTATACTTAATACACATAACTCTCAGTTTCAAGCAACTGGTTGTCATTATTCTAACATACATTTGTTATTGTTTTTATTTTCAATATTTGTGGCAAAGATAACTTATAGCTGTTAGTTAGCATATAAGTTTAGTATTCAAAATGCTACAGGTTGATCCTAACCACTCCTTTAATACTATAAACACAAACAATAACAAATATGTGTGACATGGAAACCAATCACCTAAAGACAGGCATAAACTCAGTTTTCAAAAGTTGTGTATTTTAAATCTACCTCAAACAACTGAAGTCTAGCATAATTGCAGTGTAAAGAGAATATTCACTATTCACCTTTAAACTCTCCTTTGGTTGACTGAACCAGTTACAAATTACAGAAATGAAAACCACTCCACAAGAGTGAGATTTCAGGTTCTTATGATGGCAAGTATGAAGATTTCTGTCTTCTGGGTTTTTGCACAATATAGTCTGGTAGAAGTTTACCAATGTTTCAGAGGTGCTTGCTGCCTCCATCATCAGGGCAATGAAATAGTGCAACTACCCAGAAGACAACCATCTTCACACCATGAGAATCTGAGATGTATGTAGGATACAGACATCATAACTGTGGACCTGTGATACTTGTAAACACAACATACCATTGTTTCGATGTCAAGTTTTCAACACAGGCTATACCAGTCTATGGTCTCTCTCTGTCTCTCTCCCCCCCCCCCTTGTGTGTGCATGCACACATTTATATAAATATGTACTCTTTCACAGACTGACTGCATCCTGTGATGAAGTCTTTGAATCTATTAATATAATCAGTATTACTTTGGCACTTATCCTATTTGGAATTTTGCAACCATGTTTCTTTTTCAATGGCAAGACAAGTAATTATTGTACCATTTTCATGTCAAACTGACACTCCACTCAACAGATCATGTTGAATAATATAGTCTACTTGTATTCATCCTCAGCATAGGTTTCTTTTAAACTAACCTTGTACTTTCCATATGGAGTACAGTTCAGATTAAGGGAAATACAACAGTTCAAATATGAATAATTCTTGCAACTAAACATCTGCTGTTTTGATCCTCCAAATAGATGGGTCATTAAAAAACCTGTCACTTTTCACTTCAGCAACAATCAATAATGATTTAGATTAGCATATTATGTATCAGTTACAGAGATTATTTATAGAAAACAGTTATGATGACTGAATAACAGTAGTATTTTCCCTCATTGCAATTATTCTACATCTGTTGTGATATCTTGTATCCTGGCTTGTATCACACAGAAAAAGGGACTCCCAAGTTTCAATGCTTAACATATTAAAATTTTTCTATCAATCAGATATATTTCTGTCCTGAAGAATGTCCTGATGAACTGTGATATGGTCTTACTGGACATGTGGTCCATAACATTCCATCACTCGTAAACAAGCATTCTGATCCATCCATGAAGATGGTAATTATAAAGACTGATGAGGCCCATTAAGTAGTCCCTACATATTTTGTGACACCCACACATCATCATTAGATACACAAGAGTAAAACAGTTAATATATTTATGACCGATGATACAACCTTGTAATCTACTTGTAATACGCAGGACTTGGAAATTCAGATTATTTGCTGAAGCTCATGTCCTCTTACACAAACAAGAAACTGGGATATAATTGGTTAGCAGCTCAGTGTTGTATGTAACACTCACATTTGGAATGTAATATTCTGCATTATGATTAAGGTAACAGGTTCCTCTGAAACAAAATTCTGATAACCACGTACATGACTACATGGTGTCATGACCCAGAAGATCACATTCCAAGTACTGCCATGAAAACCTCAAATCTCATAGTCACTTATAGTGGGTAGCATAAAGGCATGCCTTCTTCATCTGTAGCATTTTAATTCTTTTTCACAATTTAATCAAAAACTGTACTGTATCCTATTAGCTGATAGGGAAGTCATATGGATTTCCATCGCTATTCCACTCAACTTGATTTCAAAACTTAAATTTGTATCTTTTGTGTATTGTTTATATTCTAGAATTTTATTAAGAGACCGAGAATATTACTAGCATGAGAAGTGTGAAGCAAATATCATATGTTTCACATTAGTCAAAAAGTTACAAAAGTGAATCAATATCATTAGCTTAGAGAAATAAATCTTAACAAACAATAAATTATTTTTACCCTTTTACTGACAGTATAAAGACTTTATATAAGCAAATGATTTTCAAATTTGGATATATAAGATGAAATATTTTATTCACTACAGTTTTTATGATAAGAAACCGAAATGTTTATTGTTAATCCCAATTTATGAAAGGTAGTACTTTGACTTGACTTCTTTGGAACTCTTGATTATAATGGGAACAATGTGCAAGGTGCAGATTAGCAGTCTGTTCAAAGCCTATATTGTGCAATTTTGTAATAATATAATTGATGTCGGGTCTATGAGATTTAATACAAAATGATGTTTAAAACTTTTTCTGAAACATTTCTGATTATCATGTGTAATAATAAAAGTTTTGCCAATTAATTTGAAACTCCTGAGTAATAAGAGTTTTTCTTAGACAACAAGATCCAGAAATGTGTCCATTAAATGAACTACATTCAGACACTGTTCCCAATATCAAATTTCGCAATAATATATTGTAGGAGAATAGACATTTGTAGAAACACATAAGAGAATCAAAAGGAGTGTTTTCTTCATTGCCCGCTTATCAGTTTTAAATCAGGAATCTTAAGTATTTCATTTCATTCTGCAAGGAAGATTAATTTACATATAGATTTATCAAACTCTGCTAATGTGATAAGACAAGATACAACAAAACAGCTTCAAGTCTGCATGACTAATAAAAAGTGCATTACTATTAAATATAATAGATTATGTTGAGAACAATTTTTGTGCTTATGAGAAAGTTGTAAAGAAGAAGAATTTCTCTGAGTATTTTACAAGAAATATCAACATATACTATCTGTACTATGAAAGAAGACATGACATTTACTACCCCTTTGAAATACACATAATACTTCACAGATGTTTCATTACACAACACTCACAGAAATGTAGTATTTCACTATGACAGGCATTTTATATGGGCAGAAAGAGTACTGACAGGGAAACTGGCAAGCCAGGGTTCTCCAACTTCTGATTACACAAGGATAATAACACAACTTAGAACTCTCAGACCACAATACTAAGATTATGCTACAGTGCATTTAGATTAAATGTATTCATATTTAAATAACAAGACAGAATGCATGAATGACAAAAGTCAAAGTAGCATATACATTGAATTGTATCAGAATTACCATGACAAACTTAGTGTTATGATCACAAAGGCAATAGTAATGCAACACTTTTTGTGAAAATTTTAATTAAAATAATAATGCTATTTTACATGTGGCAAACCCAGAAATCAGACAAAAATGAATATAAACATTAAAATGAATATAAACATGAAATGGAAGGCATAAGAAATATTCCAGGTTACTTACTTTCAGGTGTACATTTGTTGACACATGATCAAAAACGACTGAAACTACAGTTTTAAAAAGCACACAGGCAGAGACTTATGTAGATTGCAAACCCCACCACCATATTTTGGCCATGGGGCCTTGGCCTTGTTACACCTGTTCATCTTTTAAGTCCAAAGTGTAGATTACTTGTTAAGTTACTGTTAGGTTTGTAACTCATCTTATCATCACACATAGTTTTCAAAAAATAAAGCTGAATATCATGATAATTGAATCTGTTTGCTTCCTTCCACTTTCCCACAATATAGGTGCCAGAATCTACCATGTACTTCAAATATTCAACGAGGACATTTAGAAATGTCCTGTTCATTTATGTGCCCAACTTTACACATCACAAATAAAATAATTTCTCTGCGGGAATTTGTTCCAACCACTACTAACATACACGGAAACGTTTCTGTCTTTCGCGCCACTTCATACATACAGATGTGCAACACAAATGACACTGATCAGCCCAGTGCTAGTTATGGAAACTGAACGACATCTATCAGTCGAAGATTAGCAATACAACGACGGCGGTGCTCGTAGCAGTAACTCAGTCAGTAACAAGGGTAACTTCTATTCCACTACCTATAACAAACAAGATAACGGCCAAACAACATTCGGTACAGATCTACCATATCGAGCATATTCGAAGCTAGTAGGGTACTTCGGACACTGTCAATTGCAGACAGACTGACCGACATTACAAAGTAATGGGAAGTTTCCAAAATGTACATAAAATGCAGAAAAGAAAGAGCAAAGGTGTTTCATGTGCGCAGTGATCGAATATCGATCATTGGAAAGCAGGTAGACGAAAATGTCTGCAAAACGAATGAATTTGATACAATAATAAAGACAAATTATTACTGAAGTCCAGAGTACACAATAAGCATCAATTTTTAGGGAAATAATAACGGATGTCTGTTGTACTTTAAGACTGAGTCAAACTCAAACTCTAGAACTCAAGAACACAAAACAGATTTGCTAACTATTACGCTGTGGCATAAATAGGTCTATCACAAACCGGCATATGTTTTAGTGCGGCAGAGAAAACCATAAGAACCCCTTCGTTCTGAACATTTATTCAACTTTTTTAGGCATTAGAAAATCCTATCCTATCCTATACTGTAGTACAGCCATATGCTTTGTATAAAAACCATGGTTATAACGAAACTTTTCATTTACGAAATATTGCCGTGTTACTTCATAATATAAGTGCTTTTATAGTACGTTAACACGCAATTTAAATAAATGATGCAAAGGATAAAGACAACTTCTGGACATACTTCTTTGTCTGTTTAGTATTAACCTTCTAAAGGGCTTTCACTGCCTTCCCCAACGCATGGTTTCGGCCTTAATGCATTTTATACCAGCCACATCACTTTATGGTACTATGATCTTCTGATCAGTAACGTATGACTATTAGAACTAGTACAAACGTTCTATCTACTTACTAAAACAGTATACAGCTTATTTTTAATTAGCCTTTCTAAGTGCCACTCTCTTGTTCTTTTCTGATTTTAAATTTATTTGGAATAGGTACTACAGATTCATATCTTTCTGTACAGTCAGTGAGTAGTATTAGCAATTAATAAAATATACTGCGTGGTTATGAGACATGCATATTCGAGTCAACCCGTCACAGAAGTTAAGATATTTAGTCTTACATTTCAATTTCCATGGAATATGTCACGAAAGGATTAATAATTCAAATACAAAAAAGCTTCGCCATTACAGAGGCCTCGTAACAGATTTACTCAATACATTTTGAATTAGAAATAAGCTTCACATGTTACGAAGTGTCACAGATACATCAGTAGTTTCAAAAACGAAATATAATTTGATATAAATGTACATCCAAATTTCAAACAAATTCTTTACGTACGATATTATTTTTAATTAATTTTGATTAAGTTCACAACAAATGTTCTAATTATAACGATTTATTACCATAATAATTTAATATTGCTATATTCATTTACATTTTAGGTCTTCATTAATCAATATGAGACATTTATATCACCATATAATTAAGTCGTAATGTTACACCTACAGATCATATACCAAAAACTCATTCTCATTAATGGTTTCATCGCGTGCTCTGACGGAGAAACAACACAAAACTGCGGACAGGTCGGACACAAATGATCGATTTGATTGTCACACATAATAAATCCCACAGTATATTAGCACTTACAGGATCATGCTGTAGCTCAGGTGGCTAAGCGCTGGTTTTTCACTTCGGAATCCCAGGTGACATCAATTAAACTTTGTTGTGCACGCAATAAATTCTAGCAGGTTTATTCTCTTAGTTTTTCGGTGTCCATATGATACAGCGTCCCACGAGGTGTACGATAGCCCTGACCAAACAGCACATGAACATGCTCTCGGTCCTAAGTTAGCGGCTTCATCTTTCAGCCGGCACCTGGCTAGTTTTGGAGTACATGTAGTTCAGTTCGTGGTTTATTAAATTTTGTAATGCCAAGATCGGTTGCATAGACTATAAAAATATGAACTAGAACAGTTCAGAGGTTCATTTCCCTGAAGATTTAAGAAAAGTACACCCTGGAATCTTGAATATTCTAAATAAAGGAGTCGGCAAGACCTACTTATAACTTAAAAACTGTATGAAAAGAACTATATTTTAATGTGCATTCATTCAGCTAGATTTCCACTACCTGTAAATGGTAACTTAAATTAACCTTTCCACCTCTCTCGTTACGTATGTACTTTGCATTACATACGGAATACATAAAATACATGCTCGTAAAATGGTCTATTCAGCTACAGGAATTCAACACACGTCACTCAATAGCATGGAACCGAAAAATTCAATGCTAACTTGTAATTGGTGTTTGGAGGTACAGTCAGAACGTTGGCATAAATACCGACGGCTACGCTGAGAAAACTCCTTATTTTTGTAACTGTCCTAACACTTCAGTTATAAATATGCTCGATGTTTTTTTGTTTTTTTGTGGCAGACAGTAGAGCGTAATTTTTATGACGCCTAGTAATATTGTCTTCTGATTTTCAGTGGCGAATCCTGGTCTAAAAGAAATATTATTAAATTCCCCCAACAATTACACTTATTTATTATTATTATTATTATTATAATCATCATCATCATCATGCCGACGTTGTGTTAAATAGTAAAACATTTTTCTTTATATTCCCCGAGTTTTGGTGATTTGGTATTCGCGACTGCTGATTTTACTTGTAGTTGCTGGGTTTAAAATAAATATTCGAATTTAGGCCTATATAGCATTATACTGTCACTGAACTGAAGGATATTCAAATAATTTATACCGTTGTATTCGAGAATCATCACGCACAATGTCCTCAGTGTCAAGCTGTCATATCTTAACGAAAAGTGGTACACAACATAGCAGACAGTTCAACACTGCAGATGATTCCACAAAAATTCTAGGTATGAAAGTAAGTGTAGATTATATCTGTTAGTTTGTTTATCAACTATTACCAATAGGTAGGGCCATACGGTATATGCCGTCGAATATCAGAAAGATGAAATGGAAAGGATTCGAAAGGATTCTTTAGGCACTACCTCGGCTTTCTCTTGGCAGAACTAGGAAAACCATGTAAACCTCCAGCAAAAATATCCAGCTCACCGGTCGTATTATGGAAAATCACTAAAACCTAATTCAGGTTAGCCGACCTATGAATCTTGAATCGAAACCGGTCACTACAGAACATAAATGGGTCGAGGGCATTCAATGTGGACTTGGTAAGTTCCTATTGAACTTGTTTACCTTTTATTAGACGGGTACAGGCAAATAAACAACATTAGATATGAGAGACACACACTGTATGATGTCCATAACATACAGATAACCTAAAACCTACAACTACAAAATGTTACGATTTCTGTTCGTAATAATCTCCTCATCTTCTCAGGTAACGTGGCTACTGCTGATACTGGCGGCATTTAGGAAAGAGGTCCTGGGTTCTCTGTACACGCACGATACAAAACATCTTGATCAACATGCGATGGACTGTGCTTTAAAGATAAGTGAGAAGTATTTTGAAACTGGTCGGACACTGGTTGTGTCCCTGCCAGCCAATAACATGTCGCAGAAAGATGAAGATACCGACAAGATAACGAACTCCGCCCAGTTAGATACACAGCCTGATACTAGCGGCGTCTTGCTAGAACGTCTGCACTTGGAAGTTAGCTGGCCGATTATTGTGTATCGTGCTTTAAGTAAAATCACGAAGCGCGACCCTCGTGACTGGGACACGAGAAACAGTGACAAGCACAGCAGTTACGTCTTGATCGCAAGACACAGGGACGAGGTGGCGAGCCAGATCCAGCAACTGGAGTCCCTCCTGGCCTGGAACTCCAGGGCAAAGTTCGTGCTTGTTGTGGAGGGACATCAAGCTAAAAACAATGATCAAATGTTAAAGAGCATTTTGAAGGAATTTTGGAAGTGGAATATCTTTAACTTGGTCGTTCTACTCCCCATTCTACTCACAATCAGTTTCACGTCTGTCGGTGTTTACACGTGGTATCCTTACAGACTGCCGTCTGGCCGATGTGGCGAATTACGTCAAGTCGTGCATCTGGACACCTGGCTGTCCACAGGCAACTCAACAGGCCGCTTCCTGAACGACTCTCCCATTTTTGAGCAAAAAATACCCTACCGTCTTAACGGGTGTCCCTTTAGAGTTTCCACGCTTAAATTTCACCCATTTATTATTTATGATAACTCCACGCTTGACGGTTCGGAAATAAGACTGATACGAAACTTGGCAGAAAAGATAAATGTCACCTTAAACCTCAGCGTTTCAATGGCACCCGAGCGAAAAGGCCAGCAGCTCTCCAACGGGACGTGGACCGGACTGAGAGGCGAAATAATGTACGGTATAACCGACATGATATTCGGACACGTACTGGCAAACCTAGACGACCATCTTTTGTTTGATGACACAATAGTTTACTCATCAGATGGATTTACATGGTTTGTTGCGAGGGCAAATCCGTATCCCCGATGGTTAAGTATGGTGCGGGTGTTCACCCCAACAGTTTGGTTTATTTTGTTAACTGTCATACCTGCTGCAGCCTTTGTTATGAATTTGCTTTCATACAGAGGAGGCGATGGACTGTGGAGTTACGTCAAAAGTTTGGTCAGCTTCTGGGCAGTTCTCCTCGGTGTGGGTACTGATATGCCAAACAGAGTCACACTGCGTGTGTTCTTCTTCTCCTGGGTGATCTACTCACTCGCCGTGAACACTGTGTTCCAGACATACGTCACCAGTTATCTCGTAGACCCAGGACTGCAACACCAGATCGACAATGCCGACGAACTTTATGAGTCCAATTCAGTGTACGCTTTCCCTGACACAATAGACAAATTTTTCACCAGTAGTTTTTTAGACAAACTGAAACCAAGATTTACATCTGACCCTGTAATATGCCTCGATTACGTATCCAGCAAAGACAACTTCGTAACTGTCGCAGGGAGAAAACTTGTGGAGTTTTTTTCCGAAGATCTAGTAAAACGCGGTTCCAAGCACGAAATATTCCCTTTCCGGGAGGATCTGTTTCAGCTGAGTACCGTGATGCTTCTCTCAAAAGGAAGTCCACTTCTAGAGTCTGTTAACATGGCTCTGACCAGCACATTTGAAGCTGGATTGGTTAACAAATGGTTTAAGGAAATCGTAATTGAAAAACGAATTAAAGCTGGGGTTAGAGAAATACCAGTTTTCATAGACGAGTATGTTCCCCTCTCACTGTCTCATCTGCAGGCTTCTTTCCTATTACTTTTCCTTGGTCTTGGTCTAAGTTTAATAACTCTGTTGTTGGAGAAGAGTCTACAGAGAAAGTAATGTACTAGTAGTACATTTTGAATCTAGCCTATGTGATGGCAAAATGCTGTGCTATGGACAAAAATCTTGTATTCATCTTGTCACACATACAGCTCTACCTTCATGTCTCCTAACATTTTATGGCTAAAGATATCATTAATAATAATAATATTATTATTATTAATAATAATAATAATAATAACAACATCCCGGGCGAACACGACATCAGGGAACTGCAGAAGACCGCCATTTTGGTATCTTCATACATCGTTCAAAAGACACTGATGTAAAATATATTGTCATCCCTCACAACATGTAACACATTAAAAACAAACTGTATTTCAGAAATAGCTGCTGCACTATGTACCTCAGGGGCAAGGTTTGTCTCAGTTACATAGAAGTAAATATCCTGTAAAACGGTGAATAGATGGAATAATAATAACACTTATTCCATTATTAAAAAACTTGACTAAGAGCCTGTTTTGTGTAAAAAAAATTATACTAGAATTTTCCTCAAAATTGATGTAGCTGACTGCCTCAGAAGATTTCATAACTCTAGAATTTTCATCCAAGTTTAGAAACTGAAGATATTTTCTGTGTAGGTTTGCAGTTGGTTCCTTTTAATCTTTTTATTTTCAAGTTTCTTAACATTTGTAGACTGGTATCATTATGATACTCTGATAGGCCGTTATTTTTTTGTTCAGTATACTTTTAAGTCTCTCAAAGCATTTATTTTGTACAACTAATATGGGAGCCAACTTTTCAAAATTGAAGGGGGTATTCAAATTTGCATTACAAATTTTCCCACATATTTCTTTTTTTGAAAAACTTTTTCTAATAATTTAAATTCCACTGGGATAACTTTTTAAATAGATTCTTCACGTGAAAATTATTTTAAACATTGGACATTGGCAGTGGCATCTTAAGAATAAGAATAAATCTAGTAAAGTGTCAAATGAAACATTTGAGAAAATGTTGGAAGAACTTTATACATTAGGCACTGGCTGTGGAAACTTATGAACTTGAACATGTCAATAACTTTATTAAATGTAAATTACTGTTATGAATAAACACAAGATAATAACTTATTTGTTATTATAATTAGGTCATGCATGTAATCCACTGTCTGCCACTGCTACCCATGTAAAACTGGCCTCTTGGAACATAAGCATATGAAACAGCGACACAGCATTCATGTTAAACACGACAGCTGTGTTAGCCCAGCTAACACTTCCAAAAATGATAAATAAAAACTTTTGTTTTTCTTTCATGGTTCAGTAGTACTCCATGCACTGGAATATAAAAGAATGGATGAAATAAAAAGCATCATTTGCCAGCTGTTACTTTTCTTACGCTTGTCACAACTGTAAGCCTCAACTAGATATTTAAATCTTGTTGGCTGAAGCTGGCTAAAGATGCTTTTTATATGATCAGTTCTGCTGTCTTTCAGTGCATGGCGTACCAGCAAACCATAAAAGTAAAACAGAATACTTACCATTTTTCAATTATCAATGTGTTAGCCAGATTAACATGGCTAACAGAGCTAACATGCATGCTCTGCCCCTGATATGAAGGAAAGTAAGAAGAAGGTTGCAAGTTTGCTGTAATTTCTAGAATACATTATAATTACATCATCTTAATTACGTACAACATACACAAAAGTACAGTGCCCCCCCGCCACTATGTATGACTGCACACAGCTGACAGCACTGTAATACAGCAAAGGGAGAGTATGTTTAAAATGGTACATATATACATATATATTCTTTTAAAATACAGAGACAGTAAACTTAGCTATTAACATTGCTGATATGTCTGTTGTACATCACATTCTCAAATATTTTGATATGTTTGCATTTTAAAACTTTTTGGTTACCTTGTATGTTAGAAACAATGCATTGTCAGTGATATGTTTAGTTTCTGACGTTCAGGCTTTCTTTTTCGGTGGATAGGATAGGCTGCTGAGATGATGTTGAGCTGGCTAAATGCCAATTTCTCTCCTGCCTACAATTCACCACACTTTGACAGAATTAAAGTAAAAGAGAGTTCCCCTATTTAATACAAATAGAAACACCGAATCACAACACGCAGGATCTACATTTAGGAACATCAAATATTATTAGGTATGGAATGCTGTGCCTCAGCCAGTAACAGTTGCTCTTAGCTCATAGTATTTAACTCCTAAATGACATAGTAAGAATTGCCTGAATTTCTAATAGTTTATGCTTATATGTGGTACACAAACGAAACATATGCTGTGTTTATGCAGTGCTGATTGTGTGGAACAGAACATACACCACAGTTAAAACACGGAGTCTCTGTAAATTGGGTTTATTATCTGTTACATTATAGAAGTTCCTTTTACAGCTACAGTTTTATCACTAGCCATTATTTCTCTTTTGAAAGAAAAGTATTTCAGTAAAGGCTTACATATTTTCTTTCAGAGTCCCACAGGTGTAATCTTTATAATTAATTTTACTTTTCTGGGCATATATTAAATCTCCATACTGTTATGACATTCTAACCAAAATTTTTTGAATTTTTACATCATTTTACAAGAAAAATTATATCACTGGTATAGCAAATTCCACATTTTATGTCCAAAAGTTCTTTAGTGGCCAAGTTAATTGACAGTTAAAAAGTTTACAGATTCTGGGCTGTAATATGTTAAATTTTGTTAAGTATTTTGTCCACTGAACAGATTGACATTTTCTGAAACACACTTATTATCCTGGGCACGTTATGTGCTCGCTCTAGTGGATCAGTACTGTTGGAATAAACAGACAGCAAGAAATGGGAAAGAGCATACAGAATACCAATGGCTGAAACCTAAACCGTAAATGAAAACAACACATTTGCGGAACAATAAAGCAATGAACTTATCAGCATCAGTTGACTGACTGTTCAATAATGATAACTAGGTGGCTTCTTCAAGCCATCTTTAAGTAATCACAATCATAATCATAATCATAATCATTTTAAAGTAATTTGTGAATATATTAGTTCAAACAAAATTTTACATCCTACATAATAGATATTTATACATTATGAATCTTAAATTAATGATGCTGTTAAATGAAGTGTGTGTTCAGCAACCAGATAATTACTGCAGGACCCGTCCCAACATGCAAGAAGGGGTGCTTGTGTACCATCACATTGCATATCTAAATGCCATAGTTTCTGTTTATAAAATTGACTGATGTTAATATATTAACAAGAGTTGCTGTATGGAACACCGAAGGTCTCTTTATAAATAATTTATTCTCATACATCAATAATGCTTGTGACTGATATGAGAGGATGGACAAAAATACAAGATACAGATTCTTAACATTTGTTAAAATATAACTCCTCTTAGTACCTGCCTGCCTGGATTTATGTCTTAGAAAACAGAGAGATGTGGTAGGCCTACTTGCGGCGATGCATGTGGCCAAAGGCGTTCACAGAGACAGCCTTGCCAGTGAGGCGCTTCTCACCTGCTGTGTGTTCTATGTTGTTGTCCTTCACCTGGTCAGTGGCAACTGGGCCAATGCAAATAAGTGGGTCCTTAAAGTAGGAGCAAACCTAAAACAAGACAGGTCTATGACAAGTCTGAACAATAATGAACAAGTGTTTGACGTCAGGTACAAGTTTGTGTAAAATCAGAGACAAGAATTTGCAAAGCCATTGACAAGTCAATGTAAAATCAAGAGTAAATCTGCATAAGACTGGAAAACTCACTTTGCGAGCTGCCTGTCTATGGCGCCGCTGCAGCTGACAACAGAGTCCCTTTCCAATATCACACTCACTACTCATAGTGCAGTCTTCACCTGCAACAAGGAGGAAAATATGTTATGTGGTTTATTACCAGTCTCATTTCTCAGTATGTAAACTTTGTCAGCTGCGCTTGCAATATTGTATCATTGAAAAGTTATTATTCTGAGGCAGGATGCAGCTCTTGTCACACTCAGATTGTGGTCGAACATTGTAAAATACTAACAATCTTTGCATTTCAGTGTGTAATAATATGAAGCTAATGTCTGTTCATGTCTCAGTCCATCTGCTTCCTAACTCAGTGTTGTAAGGCACTTGCATATGTAGTTAGCTTCTGAAAGTTACTGAACCCTTAAAAGCCACAAATTAGTCCAACCAAACTGAAAATCTGGGAAGACTGTGAAGACTTCAAATCCCTGGTCACTGTTCCAGACAATAAGTCAGAGAGAAAATTGAAAGAAACAAAACTGCCTGCTTTCACAATTCTGTATACTAACAACAGGGTGTTAAAATAAATGTTATAGAATTGATCTTGTATACTGCAAGACAGAAAACTAGAAATATGCAAAATTTGTAATTAAGTCTGCCTATCCCAGATAAATGTAAATTTATTTTCATAATTATTTGTAAGCTTCAAAAGAATGAATACAAGAGTAAACTGTGATCAGGATCTAACAGTAATCAGCCCAGGAATTTACTTCTCTTAATTAACGAATAAATGCAAAATGCAGTATTCTTGTAATCTCTCTTAATACAAACATAATGTCCCCCAATACTCAGCAAAAAATATTTTTTCAAAAGTGTAATTCCCTCCTGTTTTTCGCAGCGATAATAAGAAATAAACGTAAGATAGCATTATGTGCAGCGTCATACTCACTGTATAGCTTCTTGTTGGACGTGGGCGGCTGGCAAGTGCGTCCTTCGCCGATGATCTCGGTGCAGAGCAGTCCTGTCACACAGTCATTATCCCTTCGGCATAGCTCACCCTGCTTTAGCCCATACGCAAACAGGCATGACCCCACTACTGCAACAACAACATTTCAAGAAGTAAGTGTAGACTCTCTGGCTATTTTCCCTTTCAGAGTCTGTAATAACATGCCATTCAGTCTACCTGGCTAGAGCATCAAGATGGCCAGCCCAGAGAGGGAACCAGGAATAAAGGCTGAGTAAGAAAACAGGAAGAAGAAAAAGTGGGGCTCTTCGTATTGGCACAAACCATCTCCGCATTATCCTAATCCCTTGGCTATGGTTGGCATAGTCCCTCTCCTAACTTATATGAACTATTCACCCCTTCAGCCCTGAAGACAGAGGCAGTATATTCCTATGAAACACTGGTATCTGCCTATAAGTCCACAAGACACAGCCTCATGTGGAAACCCAAGTGCTTTCTCAAAATATATCAAAAGGATAGTTCAGTATGGACTCATTTTATTTCAAAATGGCAGCCTTAAAGTGTGTTCATTTGCAGTGAGCATGGTTAACAATGTTCCTCATATTTTATACTCACTTCCATCCACATCAACGCACACGGAACCTGGGCAGCAGTGCTCATTTGCTGTGCACTTCTTGCCATAGCATGGCTCCTCGTCTTCCTGCAGCTCCTGGAACACTTCCACTGGGTTCAGCTGCTGCAGTAAAATTATATCACCCTGCATTACTATACATATGTATATTAATATGGTGATATTATTTATTAGTCTATGTTCGAAACAGCTGTTTAAATGCAGAATTATAAGTGTCATTGGCTCATTGCTAGCCGTCTTCTTCAGACAAACTCTAAACATAATTTCTTTCTTGTTTCATCCTCCAGTCAAGGTACAAATTTGTTTCCGGGAAAATGGTTGCAAGGAATTTGTAAATACTGCAGTGTTCTTTGGCTATGCTATTTCCTGTTCCTAAAGACAGTGTAGTAAGAAGACATATGGTAGGAACTAACACACACAGAATGGCAGTCTTTGCAAGAATTCTCTCAAACTATAATTAAAGCAGTAAACATTAAATAATCTTCAGCTATTTTTAAAGATAACCAAAATGAGGTAAAATTTACAAGTTTACGAAAAACAACAGCGCAAAAACGTAGGTTCAAGAGACGTAAGATGTGAAATTTTTTTATAAATTCCAGGCCGAAAAGAGAGAGAATGCGTGCCTACGATCGTACTCCGAAATACCTGAAAGGGAGGTGGAAACATTGCTCTCACCGGTAAAACAGCCGAAAGATAAAGCTTATCACTCACCTCCGAAGCAAGTGTAGAATTGGAGAAATTTTCCCTCTTCACATTGTGGTTCGTGTTCTCACGACAGGGAATATGAATACGTATGTCTTCTGGGTTTTTGCGCCGTGTAATCCGGTAGAAGTCTGCTGATGTTTCAGAGGTGCTTGCTGCCTCCACCTCAGAGTAGGTAAAACGTCGGTAAACTTCTACCAAACTACAGAACCAGATGACAGCCATCTTCTCTTCACGTTTTTAAGAATGGGGGCAATTTTGTCTTCAGCCGTAAACATGATAAAACTTGATCTAATATTAATTGCTTTTTGTTTGACGCATTATTCCAAAAGATTGAATTTCCACCGTTCAAACACTCTTAGAACCGGAAGCTGTAGGCAAGCATTCTCAGCTTTCGCGCTGTCAGGTAATGATGATAAAAAAAGACGTTGTTTTCTCACATCAAGTAACTATTTTTCGTCAAACAACGTGACGCAAGAAACGCAAGCACACCGCACAAAGGGCATCGGCAGTTTGAGGACCCCTGATTCAGATAACATCCTGATAAAAACGCCATGGTTCTACATAAGACGGCTAATCTGAGAACAGTGCACATAGGAATATCTTAATGCAGCTCTTCATTAAGTGAAAATGTATTTTCCAGAAGCTATTATGTAATGAGGCCAAGGACCAAAGGATACTCTTTAACACGGTGTGGAAATTAACAGCAATTTTAATAACAATCTGTCATAATTATTATAACAACAAATACTGGATTAGTGTTTGACATGCATGAGATAAGAGCGCAAACAAGAGCGGTATACAGCCAATGACCTTTAAATTAATGACGAATAACAGAGAAGGCGATGCGGCAAAAGTGACCTCTAGTATGCTAGGCTCATTGAGCGGAAAAAAGTTCAGTGAACTGATAACAATTTCACTGAGCAGAAAAAAGCTCACTGGGTGGAAAACGTGTTTTTAGGAGCCCGTTTGGTGAGTGGGCGTGGCAACGTGGTAACCTTTCAGAAAGAATTGGTTCGCAAAATTTGGAAAATTGCTGCTCTTGGCGGTAATGATAACGGTGACAATCGGATCCGGTTCCAAGAAAACATCTGTTATCTGGGACAAGTTTGTCCAAAAATAACAAGTAGCTCAGGTGACCATAAATTATTGCATGAAACATTTTTATCAAGTAACAATTAAGATAGAGGATTTGAGACTTTCGCGGCGAGTACAATCAATAAAATCTTCTCGGCCAATCAGCCGCGTTAATTGGTTACAGTAGTAAACCGACGTTTCGGGAACCAGTTAACGCGGCTGATGGGCCGAGAAGATTTTATTGATTGTACTCGCCGCGAAAGTCTGTAGGCAGTCCGAAGTGCCTGTCGGATAAGAGAAAATCCATAGAGAAGACGGTGGAAGACATTTTTGCGAAAATAGTAGTAGTATAAAGCTATATCCAACAGACAGCTTTTGTGTGGTTACCCTGGAAACGTAAATTAATTGCGAGTCCTGACGTCACGTCAGGTGAGATAATATCTGACTGCACTGCATGAGCTGTGGGTGGGGCAAGCCCCAGTTCACAGATCCGGACACAAAATGGGAAGTCCAAGTCCGTGGGCAGTAAATGAGTCAGTCAAGAACTAGAATTAAAACCTGCAGCGCCATCTCACTCACCATGAACCTCAGTTGAAGTCAGCCAGAACTAAACCAGCGTCTTGCCGTTTGAGCTATGAAAATTCCTTGTTATCATTATCAGCAATTTTACATCTAATTCGTATTAAAATACATCTGAATGGGAAAGTGTAGGGAGCTAATTCTTTTCTTTCTCAAGCCAATATATTCTTTCATACAGTGCACCTTATTTCGGCAAACGAAATTCGGAGACCACGTCACAATTACGGAAATGCCACTGTAGAACTGTGTAATATTACAGGCTTTTACCACTTTGTTCGACAATACATAATTTAAACAACTGACGCAGTGTCATAAAATAGACCGACTATCACATCGTGAAATGACATTTATTGTTAGGTGCCCAGTGTACGAAACAAATCTTGCAGAAGCGAGGCTTTAACTCATGATACGGAAATGAGCTATCGACCACAGTGAGGTTACCATGGCAAATAACAGTAATGAAACCAGAGACATCCCAGGGGGGAAGAACGCAGACCCACAAAGCAGTTAAATCCCGGGTTTTATGTCTCCCAGAGGAGAGCAAGATATATATGTATATCTGACAGGTCCTCTTCCCGGATGAGCAGCGGTTTCCTGACTAATGCGTCCTTCTAGATAAGCACCTTGATAACCCTTGCAGAAAAGCAGTGTCCAGGCAAGTGAATTAGCGCAGATGTAAAGCATCTGACTTCCTTTCGAAAGACATCCATTTCGGTCCCAGGTAAGCTTTTAGGGCTTCCTCTTAGTCCCTATAGACAACGTAGGCAGCATTCAGCTGTTTTCAGAACTTTGCGTAGTGGGTGTATTTCCATTTGTTCATCCCGGAAACAATCATGGGTTAATTATAGAAACTGTCTGACAGATTTTATTAAAGGTTTGCTTCAACAACAAGCCGCTGGATGTCTCACCTTTAAGATTTTCAATCCCTTGTTACCAAAAATACTAACATAACAGATGTAAGCTCTTGACAGGTGGATAAAATGTAGTGTAAGGTCTTTTAATTTGGCCCGTGCATGGTGATATTAGGGAACTACGCACCATTCATTTAAATAATTATTTTAATATAAATGGGACATAAAAGTGTGTTGTGGACTGTATTCATTTGACTCAGGATCGAATACCACGACACTAAACCTTCATGTTTTATAAAACGCAAGGAACTTTTTGAAAAGTTAAGCCACTTCTCAAAAATAATTCTGCTCAGTGGCGTGACGCTTGCGAAATTACGTTTTAGTTTGATGACAACAGTTTATGAACCATTATCACACAGCATTAACCACTTAATCTTTGTAATGGCAAGAATTTACACTCGTGTTTGCGGCGCTGATGAGTACGTGGCGTGATATTTTCGAGTTATGTTAACCTCGGTACGTTCTGTTTACATCGGTTTCATGTGAAAACAAAGTTCACGTGTCGTGAGTCTTATCAGGCGTCAGGTAATGTGTCATATTACTTCAGTAGGCGCTCTCTCTAACAGATCAATAAGTGGATTCAAACCCAGGACCAAACGAAATTCTATTGTACTGCGGGACGAATCTGCCCCTGCGCGACGTAGACCCTGCCGCATTGCAGCTACTAAGGGGAGGGGGATTGGGGGAGAGGGGTCGACGAACACCAGTTCTTACAGCTCAGTAAAAGACCGCTTCTTTTGTTCACTGTGTGTCCACAAGGAGGCGACAATGCAAACGACGTCTTTTGTTGGTTGGTTTTTTGCGCCTGTCAAGCAAATGTCATTTTCTGTGACACAATAACAGATAAAATCTTACGGCTTTCAATTTATCCTGCGCTTTATTTAACAGGAAGGCCGTTATCTTCAAGAAGGAAGCCCACAATCCAATGCTCACAGCAGACGTTGATGACTTCTTTTCATGTGGAATAATGAAACCTAAAATAAAATGAGTGAATTACGACCGTAATTCTTGTCCTTAGGTTTTCGCGGCTGGAGTTAAATGAAAAACTTCGGCTTTCATGGATCAGTCGAGTCGAATGCCAAAAATAATTCATTTTTGTACACAATGCAGTAGCCGTTGCTGGCTGGTCGTTTTCTGGCAGGCAGTAGGCGTCGAGTGGGAGGGGATGTGACGGTGAGATTGGCGAGGGCGGAAGACGAGAGACGGAAGAGCTCTCCCACATCGCAGCATCTGCTGTTCTCACTCTCTTTCTGTTTTGCTTCTTTATCTCGTTGTAGTTCGTCATTTTGTAGCCTTTCAAATATTTTGGATTGTATATGGTTTACTATAATGTCTCTTTTGTATTGTTTCTTCTCCTCCTGGCTGTGGCTTTCCGATGCCTATTGTCCATTTTTCATTTCCTCGCGTTCTCCTTATTTGAAACGCTGGCTTGCGTCTTATTCTATTACGCACACTGCTGCCCTTTTGTGTTTTACTGATGACTATTCCGTGTTACAAATGGTCTTTGAAACCAGATACCCTGCGGTCCAATTAAAACAGATGCATTGCATTTGTATGTTTGCGAGGAAATCCTAAAATGCGTCAATGTGGAAGAAAGAGAACATCTTAGGAGCCTGGTCTTATCAGATTAATTAAACAAGAACATTCTATCGGAAAACGTGGTATTTTACTTTGTCGATCGTATATACCTATTTGAATAAAATTTCTTTTAGGAGGCTTGATTTTCTTCAGGAAAAACGGGAGGTCTGAAATCTCAACTACGTTGATTTTCAGGACTTTAATTACTTAAGTTAATAAAACATTTCTCTACATACTCATTCTTAATTTTATATATTT